CTGGGCCCCGGCCCCCCGCCCCCATCCTGGCCGACGAGATGGGGCTGGGCAAGACCATCCAGACCATCGTCTTCCTCTACTCCCTCTACAAGGAGGTGAGGCCGCCCCGGGCATCGCCGCGGCCGCCTCGGGGTGTCACTGTGTCCCCGCGGCCGTCTCGGGGCGTCACCACGGCCCCACGGCCACCTTGGGGGGTTACTGCGTCCCCACAGCCGCCTCGGGGCTTCGCCAGAGCCATCTCAGCATGTTACTGTGTCCCCACGGCCGCCTCGGGGCATCGCCACGGCTCTGTGGCCACCTTGGGGGGCTACTGTGTCCCCACAGCCGCCTCGGGGCGTCACCACGGCCCCACGGCTGCCTCGGGGTGTCCCTGTCCCCACAGCCGCCTCAGGGCATCCCCATAGTCCTATGGCCACCTTGAGGTGTTACTGTGTTCCTACGGCCACCTCAGGGTGCCCCCACAGCCACCTAAGGGCGTTACCGTATTTCCATGGCCGCCTTAGGGTATTACTGTGTCCCCGTGTCCACCGTGGGCCGTCCCTAGAGCCACGTCAGGGCATCACCGTGTCTCCGTGGCCAGCTTGGGGCGCCCCGTAGTCCTACACCCACCTCGGGCATCCCCACATCCCCATGGCCACCTTGGGGTGTCACTGTGTCCCCATGGCCACCTTGGGGGTTACTGTGTCCATGCAGCCATTTCAGGGCATTCCCACAGCCACCTCAGAGTGTCACCGTGTCCTCACGGCCCCCTCAGGGCATCCCCACGGCCACCTCGGGGTGTCACCACATCCCCGCCATCACCTCAGGGCATCTCAGTGACCCAATGGCCACCTCAGGGCGTTGCTGTGTCCCCATGGCCACCTCAGGGCACTGTCATGTCCTTATGGCCACCTTGGGGCGTCTTCGTGTCCCCAGAGGTACCTTTGGATGTCGCTGTGTCCCCATGGCCATCTCAGGGCATCACCGTGTCCATACTGCCACCTCGCGGTGTCCACACGGCTGCCTTGGGGCATCGCAGTGACCTAACAGCCACTTCGGAGCGTTGCAATGTTCCTCAGCTACCTCAGGGTGTCCCCGCGTCCCCACAGTCATCTCAGGGTGTCATCGTGTCCCCGTGGCCACTTCAGGGCATCACAACGACCCAGCGGCCACCTCGGGGCATCATCACATTCCTGCGGCCACCTCAGAGTATCACCGCGTCCCCACGGCAATCTTGGGGCATCCTTATAGTCGTCTTGGGACATTGCCATGTCCCCATGGCCAGCTTGGGGCGTCCACACGTGTGGTCACTTTGCGGCATCGCTGTTTCCCTAGTGCCACCTCAGGGCATCCTTGCGTCCCCACAGCCAACTTGGGGCGTCACCATGTCCACACGGCCACCTGGGGGCATCCCCATGGCCACCTTGGGGCATCACCGTGTCCCCACAGCCACCTCAGGGTTGTCCCCACGTTCCCCCGGGTGGCGCGCTGTCCCTCAGGGCCACCCCAAGGGCCCGTCCCTCGCCAGCGCCCTGTGTGCCCGGGTGACACGCTGTCCCCCCGTGTGACGCGCTGTCCCCCAGGGCCACACCAAGGGCCCGTTCCTCGTCAGCGCCCCGCTCTCCACCATCATTAATTGGGAGCGCGAGTTCCAGATGTGGGCGCCCGCCTTCTACGTCGTCACCTACACGGGGGACAAGGACAGTCGCTCCATCATCCGCGAGAACGAGTTCTCCTTCGAGGACAACGCCATGAAGGGCGGCAAGAAGGCCTTCAAGATGAAGGTGAGCCCGGACGCCTGGGTCCCCTCGGGGCTCCGGGGTCTCGACTCGGATGCCTGGGTCCTCTCGCGTGACTGGGGTCTCAGCCCGGACACCTGGGTTCCCTCAGGGGTCTGGGGTCTCGACCCGGACGCTTGGGTCCCCTCATGCGCTTTGGGGACCAGGGCTCGGAGCTTGGATGCGGGGGTCCTCTTGCACGTCTGGGGGTCTGGGGTCTTGGCCTCGACACCTGGGTCCCCTCCTGCTCTCCCGGTAGCAAGGTCCAGGCCTGCAAGGCCCAGGTCCTGGGTGCCCTGGGTGGGAGGGGGAAGGGGGATGCTCCTGGGGCTGCCCGGATGCCTGGGCCCCGGAGCTGACGGCTTTGGGCAGCGGGAAGCGCAGGTGAAGTTCCACGTGCTGCTGACGTCCTACGAGCTCATCACCATCGACCAGGCGGCCCTGGGCTC